AAAAAATATATAAAGTAACTATTAATGTAACTATTAAATTAGTTACTAGTTATCGAAAAAATGTAACTGAGTTAAGTTACAGTTACAGATGTAGAGAAAGTAACGAAGTTAAGTTAGAGTTACCAAAAAGAAGTAACTGTAACTGTAACTTCGTTACAAGTAACGAGTTACTTCCCAACCCTGGGATTCACATAGTAATTTAATGGCTACCTCCACCTGTGCCAGGTCCTAAATGGCGTTTATGTTTCTAATCGATTTAAATCTTAAAAAGGACCGAGTTAAAATTTAAACATTTAATAGTATTGCGACCGTCTTAAAAAGCGAGTATTCTAACCCAGCTGTGAGCCAATCGCTCTTTCATCCACACTCCCTAAAAGTCAATCAGATTATCACTGAAATCGGTGACTAATTTACAGTTACAAGCCCACCGCTGCGATTTTCAGTGGTGTACTTGTAACTGCAAATCAGTGACTATTCGCTGTTTTCAGTGATAACCCGCTGATTGACTTTTAGAGAGCAGCACGAACGGATTGTACAGCTTAAATATTAAAAAAAAAAGATTGTCTCGTGCGAGAGTCAATTGTCCCATAGGACATGCGAGCGTACGCCAAAACACCCACTATTGACCCACTTGAGCCCACAGAAATCCGAGGATTACCGCGAATGCAGAAGATTTCGCGCGGTGAAAGGATCTCGCAACCGTGATACGCCCCATCACCTGGCCTACACGTTGGACCACCGTGCGGGACCTACTGCTCGCTCAGGCAGCAGTGAATGAGTAAATTAAATGCTCGTGTATTAATCGGTCGTGCCTGCGTTTCTCGGTCTCGGAAATTGCCGGTTCGCCTCCGGTGCGCCGTAGCCGGGTCGCCTCCCTCCAGTAGCCGGATCCGCCGCAACCGTCCGACGGGCTCTGTAATTTTCTCACCGCCCGGTACATGCCCACGTGTGTACGCGCGAGCCCGATATGGCAGGCTGCACGTAAAATGTGGGCCTTACACGCGCGCAAATGTCGATCGTCCTCGAGAAAATCGACGATGAAGGACGCGCATCTACCAACTCGTGGATGAATCAGGATTCCCTTCTCTTCGCCTTCTTCAAGTTTGAAATGAGAAATACAGAAATGCTGAAAAAAAAATCGTTTTACAATGAAATCCATATCTATGTAATTATCCATATGGAGCAATCAACGTATGAATGGGTGATAATTAAAATTAAGACTGTAGGCTTGCACATATCTGAAACACCAGTTTGACAGATGCTGATAAATGAATGCCATATTTACGGGAAGGAGATCTAGAATTTCTGTTATACGTCCCAGAGAAATTCCCACCAAATACGGATACAAATTGGTATCGAAGCGGAGGGGAAGGATGTCTTTCCTCTGCTGACAAGACAAATGAATTGTGTACAGACACGAATTCATCCTGGGATCGTCTGAGAAGCTGCTAAGCCGGCAAAGATAAAAGGGACCACAGTTGAAAGGAGGGAAAGAGGATTCTTGCGTCTGTAAGTCGATCACTCTGGCGGTCGGGCGCCCGTCGAAAAAAATAGAGAAACTGGTGCAGAAATAACACGACCTCGCAGAGGGGTGAGGAATGAAAAGGGACACCGTCTATTAAACGCCCACGAAGCTGCGAACATACGAGTCGACCTGCCGGAGCTGTCGAGATGAAGTGACGCCTTTGTTCGACGAACGTGTCGGATTGTTTTTTCTCGCACATGAAACGCTTCGCGCGCTGTAAGTGTACGTAGTAAGTCGAGGGGTGTCAACTGGGCGAGGAAGGTATGCGACATTCTAACAAATGTTAGGGGCTGACCCCACGAAGACGAGTGATAAAGGCGAAGCTCATATATCATAACATAAGCAGTATTCTGTATTTACTCAAGTTTATTTCCCAGTGAGAACACCAATGTCGAATCAACGTCGAATCGACGTCAATGGGGTCGAACTCTGCATTCCAATCGTTACTTTTCGAAAACAATTAAGTTTTGGAACGTTATCTTTTGTATTAAGTTACTACGTTCAACGTTCTCAATACTTTTAACATCTTATTAGAGAGAACTGCCAGGTTAACTTATTTAATATAAAATTTAATGCAAAACAAAGTTTCAAAAGTTTCAATTATTTTCGAAAACTGACCGATGGGAAGTGGTTTCGATCCTATCGACGTCGATTCGACGTTAGTGTTGTCACTGAGTTGTAATTAAACACGCCGATTATTGATCAATGATTCAACGAGGGACACACGATTGATTCTTTAACTCGTACGGTGCGATCAAACAAAAAAATCGATGCATATAATTTTATATTTATAACTTCTACATGTTTAATTTTTTACACTTTATGATTTTTTACACTTCATGTCGAACGTGCAATCGCGGCAATAAATTACTGATTACGCGTACATCTTCCCTTGCAGTTCGATAGAGATATCACATGAGAGCCTGGTGAAATTTCACTTTTATCGTCGTAGACGATGCGCGGTTCGGCCACAAGCGAATTGAAAAAAATCAAAGCAAAAATTATATCCCTCGTAGGGCTAAGCGTCCGCGACCGGTTAGTAATTCCTCAAGTTTTCGGAACCCGATATTATCTTCAGGGTGAATGATTACCACGTCTGCGAACGCAGTCGTCACGTAAATTCATTATCATTTGCAGCGATTTTTCACTGCCAAACGCTGTCGTTTAAATTAAACATTTCTCAGGAATATAATAAGACGCATCACAAACCTTATATATAATTAGATAGGCCGATTCTTCGATCTGTGTTACAAAATCTTTACGTAAACATTTAAAATATGTGTAAGCAATAGTGGATGATGAAAATTATCAATCACCTCTCTCTCAACTGTTTTATTTTTATCGCTCGGCACTCGAATAATACTCATTGTGCCTTTACGTTTCGTCGGAAGGAAGTGATTGCCTACGACGTCCTGGCGGGACTTTCATCGAGGCTATTTCTGATCGTTCATCGCACGTGGACGTGGCATGATCGTGGCCTCAGGTCTGTTGGAACACGTCGTCGCTCGCACTATTTCCATCTGCATGCGGATAGGTGTCGGTGAATTCAAGAAACATGACGAAGAGAGGAAGAAAGAGAGAGAGAGAAAGAGAGAACGGAATGACCCGGAGGCGGAGGTGGATGAAAAAGAAACACGACGACAGGCCGGGAATAGAGCCCGTGTCGAATTTGCATTAACGCGACCCGTCCCGGCGTCAGGCGTCGTCGCCCGATTAGTCGCGCGCTGTGTAAACTTGAGTCCCGAGAAGCTGACGACAATCCCGAAATGCACATCGCGACGGGTCGCATCGCGAGGCGCACGCGGAAGCAAAAAGTCTCCATCGTATCTCCAACGTCTGCGCATCACGTGCCTCCTCGCGACTAGGAATGCCCGAAAGAATGCCTATTTTCAGAGCTGTAGCATAATCGGGCGCACGTAGACAAGCGTAATCGAGTGACATGGGCGTTGCAAAATTATTAGAAAGGAATCTTGTTAAATTAAAAAGACATAATATACACATATAACGATAAAACGCGGTTCTACCTTCTCTTAAATTTTTTTTAGACCATCAACAAAGGATACCTTCGAAATTTAATTTTCCATTCAATTTACACTAACAACGACATCGTTCTGTCACGGGTTTCTGTCACGGTATTTGTATTCTAACGGCAGAGTTCACTTGCATCCTCTTGACGTAGGCTCGCAGTGCTGTTTGCTTTTGGAGAACTGGTGCGTCAACGTCAAAGAGTACCGCGCGGGTTTCGTGCCAGGTGCTTATTTCACACTCGATGTACAATCAACGTGTTTACATCCACACAGTCTCCCTCAACCTACCTATCTTACTCTGCTGCTAGCAATTTGGCATTTTTACCGAAGGCATTTTACCTCGCTTTGTTACTTGCCAATCATCACGTATGAACGTTTTATGTAGTTTCTTGTCACTCGCAAGCTTACAGTCAACAGCATTTCATAATTATTTTACGGTTTAATTTTCTCGCTAACCTTGAGAAAATCAATCGACCGAAAGAAGTTTCTAATCATTAGGACAGTTTGTGATTGTGATTACAACTTGTGACGCAATGCAAATTAAGATCGAAAGCGCACCTGTATCTAATATAATTTCCTCTTCGAAAAGGCATTTGCGTATAACGGGATTCTGATATAAGTAAACGTATAAATTGTATCTTATTCTTTTTCTCATTTCTAATACGATCTTGTAGGAAAAACAAGTTCTGGATCCGATTGCGAGAGCGAGCCAGGAATTACGTTGAAAAGGAAGCAGCGCAGGAGCAGGACCACCTTTACAGCCCACCAGCTGGATGAGTTGGAACGGGCGTTCGAGAAGACTCAATATCCTGACATCTACGTCAGAGAAGAGCTTGCCCAGAGAACGAGATTGTCAGAGGCCAGGATACAAGTGTGGTTCAGTAACAGAAGAGCCAGATTGAGAAAGCATATCTCTTCGTCGTCGTCTGCTGGATACGTCGGTTCCGTAGCCTATCCGACCGGCTATGTTATTCATCCACCGGCACCTCATCCTCACGCGGCAGCAGCCATGCCGCCGGGTCATCCACACCCGCATCCGCATCCGCATCCTCAGAGTCTGCCAGACACCGCGTTTGCTTCCGGTCAAGGTATACGTTTCTGTGAATCAGGATGAATTGTTATTCCTATTTGAGTTGTATCTTTACAATAAATGATAGCACAAGACCGAGATAATCATTGTTGTATGCTATTTCAGTTTCAGAATTGTATTCGTCTCATCATGCATCGGTGACTCATCAACTGGCGGACTCCGCGGCACGATTACCCTCGACCGTAGGATCGCCCTCGACTTACAGTTTTCCGGCCGCGGTGACGTACCCCAATTTATCGGTATTGTCGCCAGCCTCGTCGACGACGGCTCATATGGCTCACCAAGCTGCCTCCACGTCGTCCAGCTATCAGCAAACCAGTGCTCACCAGCTACCGCCGACTCCGAACTCTCTCGTCACCATGATGGGTCCGAATTCGGGCAACTCGACATCCGCTCCCGATCAATTAGCCCCGTCGGAACTCCCGATCAGCTCGGTCTCACCTCCTCAACAGCAGCAACAGCCACAGCCGCCACAACAACAAACCCAACAACAGACCAGTCAAGGGACCACATCGCCGTCATGGAATCTCGCGATCACCGCCAGTGGCAGTAGAGTCAATCTATCGAGTCCGCCAACGGCTCTGCAGCAACATCATGCCTACACTCATCCTCATCAAACTTTTGCTAGCCCTTATACTGCGCAGAGCTTTCAGCAGCCAGCTAGGCCAGCGCCACAAACATTCTGGTATTAAAGTATGAAATTAGTTATTAACTTGTAAAAAATTGTAGACTGACTAACAGTTGCGCCATTAAAAGAGCAAAAAGAATATAGGCAATGATAGGTCTTAGTTCTTTTGTTGAGCCTATTTGAAGAGTATCTTCAAGAAATGTCATAATTTAATCTGATCACTTGATTACAGAATGTAATGTTGATATCACTAAGTGACAAGTTATATTAATAGTTAGTTAGATTTAGTTCTATTGAAATCATAACATAGTAGAAATACATCAGATGGATAAGTTAATGTATCAAGATAACTTAAGCTGAATTGTTTTCTTAAAAAAGAGATAGATACATATACACATATGTCTATACATATATAGTATATATATACATAAATACAAAAAACTAGTAATTGTAATTAAACTTTACAGTGTAAAGTGTTGTGTACAAATGAGTTTTAAAAGGCCTTATTAATCATATATTTCTTAAATAATAAAAAGTTACTCTGTATAAAGCTTTAATAACATTCATTGAATAATCTGCAACGCAAAACTGTACATATTTTTTTCTTTCGGTTCGTGGGTTTTTACATTTTAGTTAATTAAGTTTTTTTCCGCAACATCCTATGTTTACAGTGCAACCAAAAATTTAGCTTTTAAATTGTAAATATGTACAATTTAAAACTTTAAATATATACATATGTATATGAGCAATGTTATTTGATCGCACTGGTTTTAGAAACGCCAAATGTTCCACTTACTCGATGGTGTACGTAGTAAACGCACAGTACATAAAATGCACGTGCATATGAGATTTGACGTGGCTGTGTACGCGAGTAGTAAGACAACGATTTCAAAAATCAAACTTGTCAAAATTGTACTGTTCAAGATATGTGTGAGCATCGATTGATATAAGTATAAACACAAATTATTTGAAATAACGGATAAACGATATTTTAAATATCTTTCGTATGATGTAATTTTAACATACACGCACAGTCGTGGTCAAATAGATTGTCCGACGTTTTATGATAAATTTCGAAGGTACAGTCTATCATGCGAAGGATTATACCTTTTGCTCACGAATATGAGCGGTGATGACGCTTTATTAGAGCAAAGGAATTATATGTATACGAATATTTATGCAATGATACGTACGAAAGTCCGAAAACTTACTGTAAAACGTCAGACAACTTTTCTGATCATGACTGTACATTATTATTATACTGCAAATACTTAATACTTAAATCATATTTTATGTAGTTTTTATATATAAGCAAAAATTAAATATTATCTATATGTAATAATTTAAAATGTTATTTCTCTGTGCTGTATTTTAAATAATTTATATTTATATTTGATGGTCCCATTTACGCACAGTACAATGGTGCTTTTTAGTATTTTAATAAGAATATATTATTAATTAAGGGATAACGCGTAAGTGTTTTTAGATAATTTTAGTTGAAATTTTTAAGGCTGACAATTTATAAAGCTTACCTAATTGCTTATCCATTTATGTGCACATTCAAAATTAATTGAAAATAACTAATTCTGATAATCAAATGGCAAAAACACAATAATTGCTGTAAATTTTGTCGCAGAATGCAGAAGCAGGGATATAGAAAAAATGTTTCTCTGTTGAATACCTGAGCTTTAATAGACTTAAAAAAAATGATAAAGAATCTACTTTCTAAAAGTATTAAAAAAATAATCTCTTTAATTTTAAGGAGAATTTTGATTATTATACCGATTAATTAACTAATTGAAGATATTATAAATCTTTGTAAATATTTAGTAAACGTTTTCATAACAAATAATAAATGTAAATTTGCGTAATTCGTCCAGTCGATAGTGGTTGCTTAAGTTAATTTATACTCATATCTTGATTATAATATATCCTGTGAGCAATCTATAAGCTTCTTTCTTACTGTTCTAGAGGGACACACATATCTAGAGGCGCGATAGCGTCTCGCGTCAAGTATATATTTTTTCTTAAATATTCAATAATTTCTTTAGCACATTAATTTCCTCTATTTCAATATAAAATTTTGCGCCGACTATTTTTTTCACAAATATTTCACAGCTAATGCATTTACGTCACTTACAAACACTCGTTGCTCAGCGAATTGCACGAATTATACTTCACAAATTACTAACGTTTTACCATTCGTTGCTTCACTTGTTTAGCATGTATCTTCAATCTTTCTAAAAATTACTTTTATCTCCAAATTGCCCTAAAGACTTTTCCTATCTGTCCTTGCTTGTGTCTCCGATAACACCATCATTTAAAACATGATGGCTGTATTGAATATTATAAAAGAAAAGTAAAAGTGGCATTTCTGTCTCGCATTACCATCATTGGATACAATACTTCGGCAATATAGCTGCATAAACTGATAAAAATTGTAAGCTGCCGGAAAACATTTATGTATTTGGTGAAATACAATTCAGCAATCATCGACCAAGGAAGCCAAGTTGCAAAAAGCAGTATAAAAAAACTGTGAGAGATTTTATATACATATATATTAATTAGATATTAAATATAATGATATTATAGATTTTATTTGTATCTTTTTACATTAAAATCAAAAATACTTTTTTACTTATTTGAAATGTTAAAGATCTAAACTCACAATTATATAAAAAAAATTGTATAGACCTATTTTGTAGAATATTTGTCATAAACCTCATTAATAAAAAATTATATCGCTCTTTTTCTTATTAAATAGGCTTAAATAATATATGTACTTGATGGCGTACCAAAAAAGTATTGTACTTCTCTTTGACATTCAATTGTAGATATATTTTTATTTGCCGTTGCTGTCTTACGAAAATTTTATGAAAATTAGGAAATATTTCTATATCATCTATCCCACTATAACGACATTATAATTAAAGTACAGACAAATTTATTGGATAGTTTATAAATAACTACTTATTTTGAATGATAATTACGGCTCAAAATTGCATTTAAGACAAATATGAAACTATCATTAATTGTTCAATTGCAAAATTTTCCGAGTTGGCCAACAATTCTACACTATAACGTTGTAGTGTGAATTTTATACGCAATGACTAATGTGTTTGCCTTGCAAAGCAATTTTCAGCCGCTCTTTTAATTAACCTTTCTATAACTACTGAAACATACAAATTCCACTCACTTACATTTCTTTAGTTTCTTAGGATACTAGTGTCTCAGTTTAAAAAATCATAATAATAAATACAAAAATAAAAATAATTTGACCATAAAAGGGTTAGGAATAGGGAATTGGAATTATTCTCAATTTTCGAAACTTATACTTATTTATACGTTGCTCCTGGATTCATATTTTTATCTCTTCACGTGTACATTTTTTTTTGACGTCTCATTATTAAGCAAAGTACTAAAATTCGCTATCCACGTGTATCGTCATGCACGATAGTGCAAAAAGTCAAGACCATCAACTTTTTCATAGTCAACAAAATTACTAGATTATTACAGCCGTGTAATAAAAGAAGTTTAGTGTTTCTAAAATACTTTGTTAATTATAGTTAATTATAGTTAAGGTCCCCGTGTAGTCACTACAACCATCTTGAATTGATGTCACAAACGAGAAATAATATCATGAAAACTTTTGCAATATTAAAATAAAAACGTTTTTCGATAAAACAGCGTTTGTAATCGGTAGAATAAAATATTTGTCCTCTTTTATTTATGTAATCAATAAATAACTCACATATGCCAAACTGAATTATGCATAATTACGAACAAAACAAGCTGTTTGATAGCTGCTTAATTAAAATAAATATTAGTTTTTATATATTAAATTATATAACAAAATGGAAGTCTTTGTTGTATTTGAATATTACGACAATTATTTTAAATATGAAACACTGCAGTAAAACGAAAAATAACGCTGTACATCGCAACAAACGATTTAACAAATACCATAAGGTAAGGCCAATAATAAATACGAGCAGTCGAGAAAGACGAACGCGAATAAATTATATTTATACATATAATATTTCGCTTACCATATAAGGAACTGAATTTATGTAAATGTCGCATCCATTGATAATTTTTTGTTCTGCACAGCTCAAAAAATTATAACGTATATGCCGTTAAATTCCGTGATTTTAGATAATATTCATGAAATTTGCTATATAAATTTATATTCACTCATTTATAAAACAGAAAAGAATAAATATGAGAAAATGAATATTTAGTTTAACAATAAAATAGACACAGTTGACTTACAATGAGTCACTCGATGCCTCCTATTTTAACATTCTTGAAAAACTACAGCTACAGATAAGCAGTAATAATTAATTTGCCCTTGTTACAATGACTCGGTCTACATTTTACTATTGCAAATGTTTAGTCAGTCTTTGTGCCGTCTTCTAGTTATTTCGAATTTCATATAAATTGCCTGAGTACGGTATGTCATCATTTATTTTAACTTGCCGTCAACATATATCTCGTGTTTTTGAGTTAAATTGTAACTTATCAATCCTTTATTTGATTCACTGACTGAAAAAAATTGTATTATTGTCCCACATTCTCGTTGACACGGACATTCAACAAGATTCGGAACTTATTCACGTTATCAAACTGGCTATAGGTTTTCGTGCATTATATATTAATCAATTTTTTAAATAATTTAATCAATTGAGGTATCTTCGCGCTAAAAAAGGCGCTGTATAACCGAAATGTTCGCATATTATATATAATACAAAATATGTAAATATAATTTATTCGCGTTCGTCACCTTCAACTACTCGTACTTGTAATTGGCTTTAATTTATGGTATTTGCTATTGAATGAAACGAGAGTTTCTTCTTATTTTTAAAAACAATTAGCTTTCCGACGTTTTTATCAAAAAGCATATATACATACATACATTCTTACATTCTTTGTGTTGACAAATGAATGGTACAATGTCGACTCGCTTTTGACATCGTTAATCCAAGATGACTGCGGGTATCTAAGAGTCTTAATGCATTGATAACGTAAGATTTTGTCATGTAAATAATAATACATTTCTCAATAATGTGACTTTTAAATATTTTTTCATGTTTTTATGGAATACAATATAAAGAAGTTAATAGTGCGTAACGAATAAATTACTGTCCACGGTAACTATGCAATTCTCAACGACATTTTCATCATTATTATATCACCGTTGCACAGGTATAATATATGATAAAAAAAGCTGCGCAATGACATGATGATAACGTGCGCAATGACGTGACGATACTGTCACATCAAGAGTTATAGAATAGGCCTACAGATTTAACAAACACAAGTATCATTCGTAAGGCGCCGAATACATTCCAAATCTAATAAACACGAGTCTCACTTGCGGCGCTCATATAGCAACGTCAAGTGGTTAAACAAGTCAGTTTTTGTGCGCGCTTTCATCAGAGAAATCACAAGACAATCCGGATGACTTTGCAGGCCAATGCATTTTCAACGATATCGATAATGTGGATAAGCGCCGATAACGATTGATCCAAGATATATACAATTTTTATGTGCTGCTTCAACGTGAATAACATTTTCATTCCTGAAAAGAATCTGTTATCGACATGGTGAACGTATCTCGTATTCTTTAACGATAATTGAACGTGTCCGTCTACAGATCTCGTGCAGAGAACGTCGAGTCACTAATGGACTGTTAAGAAATACATACGCAGGTTATGTTAAAGTGAATATTTCTAATCCATTAATTGGTGCATAACAGGTGATTACAGTGATTCGCCACACAAACGTATAGGCACCTGGAAAGATGACTTCTCCTGACGAAGAATGCAGCCGTTTCATTCAGGTAGGTCAACGGACCGTTCGAGACCTACTTTCCGTTTTGTAACATGACTAAGTACATTCCGACAGATTGCTATACCTCTCGTCAAAGACTATACTTGTGCATATTTACGTATTGTCATTCAGCCAAAATATAAACACTGATTTATATAAAGTAATTTTCTGTTACTATTGTAAATAGGTTGACGTTCTACAAATTTAAACGAAAACTATATCGCTATATTTTGCAGACACGTATTTCTCTTGTACTCCATAAAAAAATTCTATAAAAAGTTTCGAATCGCTAAAGTGAACTTGATATCATAAATCAATATCCAAAGAAAGCTTAAACAAATGTTAAAAATATAATCAAAGAAGATCTGCAAACTTGGGCTCAACATCATACTTTGATCTTTTCCGCATTATTTGTTGTGATTATTGCGCGATAATGAGATCTAATTGGTCTCGCGATTACAAGCGATAATGAGATATAACAATCATCTGATTATAGGTAATAATGGTAATATAATCGTCATCACTTTCTGCGAATTTGCATTGTTTTTATTATTCAAATACACTGACATCGCAACGTTTAACGCATACTTTAACGTAGCTGAATGTAGTACAAATTTTTCCGTCTCGTCAAGAATGATCAGTCTCGCGAGAGAATGGTATTGTTGATCGGCCTCGGAGATCGGTGCGTCATCATAACGTACATATACGCGATATTATAATGACGATTTAATCCTCTTACGCAAGCGCTAAGAGTTCCGTGATAACACTCTTATGTTGTATTACGTATAAGCTTACTGTCTTACAACATCTTATATTAAGTTGTGTTTAATCATTTCTAAATCGTACGCATGTCACGGGACCAATATAGAACCAGCGTACTAGATAACATTAATTCAACCATGAACCATATGCATCTCTCACAAGTTCTCTTGTTATAATTAAAGTATTAGCATTATTAATGTACTTTCTCTGATGACGCACATGTGAAGACACTTTTTTATTTTACATCTTAGAGTGCGTCACAGCACTTTAAGAAGATATAATTATTTTTAATCGTGTTTAATATTAGACGATTAGGTGTTTATAATTAAATATTCAATAATTATGTATCAGAATAAAAATTTTTATAAAAGTATAAATTTATATAAAAAATATATCTTTTTCTAGTTTGTTGTTAAAAAAATATATGTTAAATTTAAACTATGTAAAATTCGAATATATAAAATAAAATAATACATTCTTAATTTGTAGATTTATTTAAACAACAAAATTAAATTTAAATGCCTCGTTGTTGAAATTAAACGGTAACTATATTAAATCGTCGATAAAAATTAATGAGGAGATAATATGCACGACAATAATTTGAATCCAAGGCCGCTGTTGAATTAAACGAACTCTGAAAGGTAGAGAAGAAAACCGCAAATTTGTTAAACCCATCTATAAAAATCTTCGGCAATTACCGCTCGTACAAATGTCCTCGAAATTCAGCGAAATATTACATCTCGCGTTAATTACGTTTGCGAACGTTTGCGATTGTATTGAGATCTGTTTTGCAAATGTTAACATTGTTTGCTTACGATGTCTCGTGATAGTGGCGATACTGTCACTTGTAGCAGATACCGAAAACGACGTCACATTCGTTCTTTTAATCTAGACAAGTGTTGTTGTCGCTTTCGATGCTTAAAGTTGTAATTACACATAATATTATGTACTATGTGGAATTTAGCAGAATAGAATTAATTTCTCTTAATATAAAAATTTTAATATTCTTTTACACTCCATAACTTTTATCTAAAGATATGGAAAAAAACACCAAGGACTTTATTTAAATTATTCATGTTGTAAGACATGTTGTAACACATAGTTAAATTGCTATAAACTTTCTTAATAAATGTCCATTTTGGGAATTCGCGATAAATTAACGGGGTGTCATGATAAAAATTACATCACGGCAATTACAAGATATTTCGCTCGAGGAAGTTACGCAAGTCAATGTCAAGACGACCGGAGCACAAATAAGACCGGAAAGAATTTAGAAGTCACACAGTAAATTCGCAGCGCAGAACCAATCGAAGCGTGAATTTACATTGAAGTCTTACGCCGATTGCTAATTAGCCTTTCACTTTGACTGGATTTAACAAACAGATGTTTCAGATTAAGTATTCACGTGCATGATCTTGTGACGTGTTACAAATTTTATTTGCTACGGATAAACAACGTATGGAGATTTTAATTAGCGCGCTTCTGACATTTCCGAATATTTAATGGTGACTAATTTAAGGGAAAGCGAGATACTTTGTCAGACTGAAATGATGAAATTTGTTAGCATTTTACATCATCGTTAAAACATAATTAATAATATAAATAAATTAAATAAATTAGTAAGGCTCGTATGTGTTCAACACAAATTTCAAAGAATTTAAAGGACTCAGAGCCGTGACAGGATGGTAGTGTCTAAATATTCTATTCTAAATTTATTGCGAAAGAATAGAATATTTAGACACTACCATCCTGTCACGGCTCTGAGTCCTTTAAATTCTTTATAATAAAATAAAATTACACTTTTCTGTTTAAAATAATTATTTCCTCAAAACTTATTGCATTGCTCAATCCAACACACAATATCTTGAGATTTGACGAAAAAAAGATGTGAAATAAATGTTACATACGAGGAAGAAAATATAATAGCTGTTATCGATATACTTATTGTAATCATGTCAATAAAATTATATGCATTTCATTCTTCTTCCCTGTCAACAATATCACTCTTGCAACATTATGATAAATGATACTCTTACCATTGATGTCATCATTATTGTTAATTACTCCGATTAAACATTATCACGCCGATTTGCCACCCGTCAACTCAGAAATCTTTCGATTGTCTTTTTACGTAATCGGCTCCTTATCAGTATAGAATTCTCAGTAACAGAAATGTAATGTTGGATTTGGCACTCGCGCGAGCATCGCTCAGCTCCGATAGGGGCAGATCATTACGCGGCGCAAATTGTCCCGGAGTGGAGAAACGTGGCCGGGTGCAGTAGATAAATTCTGTGCGTCGTCCTCAGTCAATAACGAGTTCTCAGTTAGCGCTGGTCACAATCGCGACTACATCGAAAGCTCACATCTCGCGCTATTCGAGAAGCTCGCGGATGTCGGAATACATCAGACGAGAACATCCCCGCGGCGTACACGCAAAGAAAAGTAGCCCCGAATATTTATTAAAACAAGATCGATTGTGCGACGCGAAAATAGACTTGATATACTTTTTGAAAATCTCAGACTTATTACGATGAAGACTAACACTCGGACTGAATAGCGAGCATTTGACGTAGATTTTCTCAGATCTGAAGATAAAGCGAGTCGAGAAACGGCAATTATCTCTCAGAATTTTCCGGAGCAATCTGGTGAATATCTCAAAGACTTGGTTTGAAACAGTAAAACCGCTGGTGAGACAGATTAGACACGTTTGTTATGTAATCGAAGGAGCAGTCTTACACGCGAGCGGATCATAATTTTCCGAGGAACGTTATCGACAATAGTGCGAACAGACAGTTCAGCAGAATAAACAATTCAGTGCAAATCGGTATTTATTACATGTACATACGACAATTTATATCTGGACAAAGAAGACTGAAAGTGACGGAAGGAGACGCGATCACGTATCTAAAGCTCGCCGCATCTCTGAACGGGACGATAGCTAATTTATCTCAAGTCGTTCAACGCTTTTGCATCTTTTTACAAGAGCCGAATTTGCAGCCACGCTACGCTTTCGTATCTTGTAAATATTCAGCCGTGCAAGTGGTCGATGAATGATGATGAATATTTAAAGTACTTTGCGATATGATATCGAGCTCATTATCAAGTATATAAATACCAAAATCGAGTATTGTAAAGATATAAACGATTGGACCGCGAAGGAGAGAGAGTGAGAAACAGTGGTGACCGTAAAGAAGATAAAAAGGGATTGCATTTGCACTCTTTTCTAAAATCACAAATCACATTTCTTGCAAGAAAATCGCCACACGGGGGGTTGCTATCGTTACATGATTATTTGATTGACGTGGTTAATTATCGGAAAATTACATATTAAGGAGAAAAAGACACTATGGCGAACACGTCAGATATTAATAACGCGAACGGACCAACGGAGATTAGTAACGCAAATGGACAAACGAACGTTAATAACGCGAATAAACAAATGGACGATAACAAGGCAAATGAAGAAAAAGACATTAATAATGTGAACGAGAACGTTAATAACGCGAATGGACAAACGGATGTTAACAATACGGGTGGGCGCATATCGGCATGCGTGGAGATAAAGGTACGTACATATTTTCGGCAAAATATAATATAAACCTCAATTTTGAATTATTACACATTTATTTCATATTTAATTATAATGTGTAAATTGTGAATCTTCCTGTAAAATTTCGACTATATATCGTCCTTTATGTAAAAAAAACTCGTTATCGTAAGTTTGAATACGTTTCATATTTTTTCTGTTTGCTTAAAGTAAAAAATAATGCGTTCCAACGTCTCTTAATCCTCAAGTTGTTAGAAAAAATTTGATTTAAAGTCTTGTTGACAGTCAGTTAAATTGATTCTTGCTTCCTTTTCTAGTTGTTTTCATCATTTTATCGTATTGATTTAGGGAGGGTTATCACGATTACGTTTATCAGGCTTTTTGCTAGATTTTCTCTTCATCTTTCTTTTAAGTCTATCTATCTCTATGTAGTCAGTCATTTCGCGAATAACAATCTATCTCTAGCAGTTAGTCATTTCCCGAACTCACCAAGTTTCGTACAGTTTCCGTCTTCATTTCCTCATATTATTAAATAGTCAGGTAAATTATACTACGGAAAACATTGAAAGGAGTGAAGTTCAAAAATATGTTTTTGTTGCATACAAAAAGTCGGTTAACTGTATTTAAGATCATCAACCTGTCAGTTTTTATCTTTATTCCTACTACGCAGATAAACATAGTGTTACAAATGCAAAACAGAAACGCAATAAAACCAGTTCTGACGTATTTTAATTTAATATATACTCTAACTTCAGAAATGATATATATATGTATATATTATTGGGGACTTAAATAATTCGCTGTTTCCTGAGAGACGGTGTTACTTTAGCCTTTTTGCATCGGGCAATACTACAGCCAACTTCATCGTGAAGCTCCACCATTAAGCTCGAAATGACAGAATAAGTCATTCCGCCAAAGTGTAAATATAGTTTTTCATAGCGTTAAACATGTCGAATTTTGTGCCAAAAAAGAATATTTGCGGGGAATTTTACTGCACTATTTTTTTTTCAAAAAAATCTGCAGCTGAAGCACATGGAATTCTTGTGGAGACTTACGGCGACCATGCTCTGTCGGAAACAACATGCAGAGATTGGTTTAGACGCTTCAAAAATAATGATTTTGATGTTGAAGATAAAGAACGCTCTGGCGCACCGAAAAAGTTTGAAGACGAAGAATTGGAGGCATTACTCGATCAAGACCCATGTCAGACGCAAGCTGAACTTGCAGAATCATTAGGAGTTGATCACACAACAGTTTCCAAACGTTTAAAAGCATTAGGAATGATTCCAAAGCAACAAAATTGGATGCCGTACGAATTGAAGCCGAGAGACGTCGAACGGCGTTTTTTCACGTGTGAACAGTTGCTCCAACGGCGCAGAAAAGGAAAGGTGTTTCGCATCGTATCGTGACTGGCGATGCAAAGTGGATACACTACGATAACTCCAAGCGTATAATCGTGGGGTAGGCCCAACAATGCATCAACATTGACGGTAAAGCCGAATATCCATGGTCCCAAGCTCACGCTCTGTATTTAGTGGGATCAGCTGAGTGTAATGTATTATGAGCTGCTCAAACCCAACGGATCCATCACAGGAGATCGCTACCGACTACAATTGACGCGTTTGAGCCGAGCATTGAAGGAAAAACGGCCGCAATACGAGGAGAGATATGACAAAGTGATTTTGCAGCATGACAACGCTCGGCCACATGTTGCAAAACCGGTAAAAACCTACTTGGAAACGCTCAAATGGGAAGTCCTACCCCACCCGCCGTATTCACCAGACATTGTTCTTCCGATTACCACTTGTTCCGATCGATGACTCATGATCTGGCTGAGCAGCACTTCCATTCTTATGAAGATGCCAAAAAATGGGTCGATTCTTGGATAGCCTCAAAAGACGTGTCGTTTTTTCGACGTAGAATTCATATGCTGCCAGAAAGCTGGGAAAAAGTAACGGCAAACGATGGACAATACTTTGAATGACATGTTCTTTACTAATTGTTTTAAATAAAGCATTCATTTTCACGAAAAACAGCGAAAACTTATTCAAGTCCCTAATACGAAAATATAAGATAGCAGCTTAGTGACGCCAGTCAAGAAAAACAAAGCTTCCTCTATGAGGAAGCAAAAGAAGAATTTTAATAAGTATGGACCTTACTGGCAATTCTTTATTATAAAACACAACGTTTTAGCCAGTAATACTGGTCCTCTTCAGGTAACGAACTTACAAGACTGCCGAACTAAATTAGGATAAGTTCTTACATTATACATATATGTATAGGATAATTAAAATAACCTAATATTTACATTCCTCCCTTTCCACGTTTCCTTATAATCCCTGTACATAACTTTAGTCTTATTTATCGCTTATTCCGTTTTCTAACGTTGACGACGAGACACATTGTACAAATTTCTGACTTCTACCTTAATTTTCACATCTCTAATCTGACGAATCTTATAAGTTTTACTATATAAAATAACACCTTAATTTTTCTGTAACGTAAGAACTTATCCTAATTTAGTTCATATTTTGTTTATCTGTTCTTCAGACATTTGTCTTATTGTGTCTTATTATAATAAAGAATTGCCAGTAAGGTCGTTTCCATACTTATGAAAAAAATATATAATAACGTAAGTAAACACACTATTAATCATCTTTTTTCTAGATGGAACCTGGTGCTACCGAAGAAAAAAAATGGGAACGAGCCGGAACAATTTATCAGGTATGATAAAATCTTTTTACACTTTTGTAAAAACAATCGCGCACAATTCTTTCTTTAATTAATTAGTTTTCAAAAATTGCGATTGTATCATTTTTGTTGGTGATAATATCACATATTACTTATCAAATCGAACTGTTGTGTGATAGATTATTTCTTGGAATAATGAGCATTTTTCGTTGTTAGGATTAGCAATTATGCCTCACCAATCTACATCGTAAATAATTACTACAGTTAACTTATTGCACAATTTATTGCTCAATCAATTTGTTTTTACGCGGATAAGGTATTACTGAAAGCACGTTCGATATGCTGCGACAAGTGAGATATGTGCAATGTTTCGCAATGGACATCAATTCTGTTCTCTGTAACTTTTAAGATGTTATATTTCGGTAATACGTGAGTTCGTTCATTGTGCGTTCTTTGCTTTTCTGTCGAACGATCTTGAAATTGCAATGTAGTATATAAAAATAAAATGTAAATTGAATGACGAAATAAAAACAAGATGCGTAGCACAACAGATTTTCCAATCAATTCGAGCCAATCCATAATAAATTATGTAAATTGTTGGGAAACATTTATGTAACTCATGAACGATTAATAACGACAAAAAGTTCGCAGTGTCGTTGTGTCAGCCTTGCAGCAGCAATTATCAGTTAGAGATTCGAAGATGAAAAATACGAACACTGATGAGCAAATATTTCAGCCCAAAACTTTTTTCATCCAGAAACTTTGCTTATCTCAGTTGCATTGTAATTTGTATTTGCATTTCTCTTTCGACCTACCTACCTGCCAATATTTTCAAAAGATTTCAATTTCTATTTCTGCATAATTTCCGCGCGATGTAAAAGAAGCTTATTCTTTGACAAAACAAAGAAATGCATCATATATATGTATTTGTCGCTTATCTCTGACGTCACATAAAATTCCAAATCTTAAGAGTAACAATGATAAGATATATGCTATCTGCGTTATGAGAGATTTTCCATTCAAATAGTTATCTCGATATCTTAACGTGAAGGATGCTACGTATACTGTGTTTCGCCTTTAAACTAATTGTGTATAAAATGCCTCTATGATTTTATCGCGAGATTTTAAAACGTATCATTGCTGACTGCACCTTTTTACGTCTCCACGATTATTCAATAAACCGGTTCTAATTCTATTCACCCGCGTAATAGCTGCAAAGTTTGACGCGATAAGAAAATTATTCCGATAAAAAAATTCGATGTCCGACTGATATTTGCCTTATTAGTTAACCTTAGCCTTTAGTGGTACGATAACTGCAATACCTCCCGTATCTGTTTGCCGCGTGTTTTTCGCGTCATGCATGTTTCGTAGCTATAAATAATCTAGTTATAAATTTTCCGCTCTGTCGACAAGTTTACCAAGGTTTTACCCCTCACTGCGAGCACAAATATTTTCCTTGGGATGTTTTTGTGTTGCCACCGTTACGTCTTCGTTATGATTTCCCGATATCACCGCTACCCTGATTGGCAGCCTTTCTTTTACAGGTGTTGATGGCCTTATGCGCTAACGTTGTGGTACTGGGTCCAGCAATGGGTTTCGGTTACAGCGCCGTAGCAGAACCCGCAATGAGATGGCCGAAGGACGAAAACGACCTGAAGCTCGATGCTAGCCAAGCAAATTGGATGGGTTAGTGTCATAAAAAGTGCACTCCATCAACGAATTACTTGCAATAATAAATTATTAAAAACAAATTTTAATCATCGTACTGTCACAAAAATTTTTTCTTGCAACAGCCACTGTATCAGCACTGGGTACACCCATCGGTTGTCTTCTCTCGAGCCTCGTGATGGGGCGAGGAAGAAAGATCAGCATGTTCGTGACGTCGTTGATATCAATGGCGGGTTGGGTGACCATTTACATGTCGAATAGTTACCTGCAGATCTTGATTGGGAGATCGATTTCCGGGATATCCACGGGCATGGCGTCGGTCCCAACGACAGTGTATGTAGCGGAAATTGCGGGACCGAAATGGCGAGGTACGATGGTATGTTGGACCAGTGTCTCTATCGCTCTCGGTGTCCTCATCGTTTATATCTTCGGATATATTTTTAAGGTAAAGGGTGCTGCTCGTAGTACTGTTTCGTATGCAATATGTATAATATACAATGCGTAATTCCATCGGTTTTTTTTTTGGTCAAAGGATGACTGGCGACTGGTGGCTCTAATATGCGCTCTATTCCCGCTATGCGCGATCGCCCTCACTTTATTGGTGGTACCCGAGACTCCTCTGTGGTTGCGGGATCAAAATAGGCCTGAGGAAGCGCTGGAAATCATGAAAAGATTCCGCGGAATACCGAAGGACCAACCGGCGCCGGCGGAAGTCCTGTTCGAATTGAAGCCACGGCCGCAAAAGAAGAATCAGAACCTGCTCAAGCACTTGGTGAAAAGGAGCTCCCTGGTGCCGTTCGGCATAATGCTCAGCTACTTCTTTTTCCAACAGTTCTCCGGAATCTTCGTGGTCATATACAACGCCGTCGGAATTATGGAGAAATCAGGTGTTAAAGTAGATCCATATCTCGGGGCGGTATTGATAGGCGTTGCTCGTCTTATAGCCAGTCTTTTGACGGCAGGAGTGTCGCGGAAATACGGTCGACGAATACCGTCGATGATTTCTGGCATTGGGATGACGATTTTCATGGGCGGTCTGTCGCTCTATCTATTTCTGGCTAGTAAAGGAACCGTCATGGCGGACAGCGGGGTGGTCCCAGTGATCTGTATGGTGATGTATATATTCACAAGCACCTTGGGCTACCTGGTGATCCCGTTCGCTATGGTAGGCGAGGTATATCCGTCCAAAGTTAAAGATATATTGTCCGGTATGACGGTTGCTATTGGTTATCTCTTCAGTGCGGCAACTATCAAGACGTATCCGGATATGGAGTCGCTGATGAGCATGCATGGTGTGTTTCTTTTCTTCGCGATCGTATCCTTAGTCGGCTCGATATTCATTCTATTATTCTTGCCCGAAACAAAGGGAAAGACCCTGCGCGAAATCGAAGACATGTTCTCGTCGAAGAAGAAGACCTTCGAATTGCAGCCGACGGAAACAATAGTTGGAGAAATAGTCGCTCCAACCTCCGTCGGTCTTCTAAGAAATTGAGAATATTTATTGCTTATGCGGGCAAATAATCGCCGAGAATAGATAATATTAAATGCACGGAGGAAGTCAAAGCGTGCAGTTATACGAAACTTACACGGCCAATGGGAAAAATGCAGCATTTTTCTGTGATGCTTGAAGGTATCCCTTAAAAGATAGTTAAGGGTATAACAAATTATCAAGATGTCTCTTATATTTATTTTAAATGCGTCGTACGTGTAGAGATCTTTTTATCATATCATATATTTTGTGAATAATTAAACAAGATAAAAGACGTAAAGATATTTACTTAGGTTTCACAAAGAGACATGAAACGTAACATGATGGAACTGTGTTGTCATCTCGATAAAAGTTTTACCATTGAAACGAAAACAGTGCCATATATCAATACTTCGCTCTACACGTGCAAGAAGTGTTCGCAAATAACATACGCTAAAATGTGATTAGGTTTGTACCAATTTGGGCGGAAGAGATACGTAATCTCGAAGATGATATTTTTTATAAGACAGTATATAGCGTATTATTTAATTAAAACTCAATACTTATTGTTCAAGTGGAACACAACCCCGATCTTCAAAATACAGTCCAAGCTTCTTGCTGCCGGAAGACAGATTAAATATCGTGGACAGTATCGTTTTTGAAGATCTAAAGAAATATACATTGTGTAAATCGATCGCGCTTTATCGATAACGCGCATAATTAATTAAATATAAAACTTCTTGTAAATTATATATTACTACTCAACAATTGAAAAAAATTGTAAATATAAAATTAAAGGAAGACACGTAACTTATTTAAGTGCTAAATGCAAGAGTAACTTATCACTAGTTTATTTTTCGTAAATTCTGGTCTTCTCGTAAATAATTAATACGTTAAGTTTGATAACGTTGACAGGTTGGTATGTTGATAACGATCGAGTCTCGACCTGATAACAGCATAGAAGGAAGTTCCATATTTGCGTGTCACTGATATTCGTTATTATTTAAGTCTGAATAATATTTTGTCATTGCGATAATAATCGGGGGTTTTCTCCGCGATTAAGTTGTCACTTTATGACAACTGTCTTTTACAATAACGAATACCTATTACTTTCCTTTGTATAGAGTATGTTTTGCGGAAAAATTGACAGCGCAATAATATCGGGCGGAAATTTATTTAAATCGAACTTGAAGTATTTTATAATTTACTAACTCTCTCGTGGCGCAACTGATTGATGAATCAATTTATAATTAGGTACGTGATTTATTTAAGTTATACTAAGTATGTATTATATACGTGTGTGTATACATATATGGGCGTCTCATGTATTTTGTTCAATCTTATTAATCTTCTTAAATCTTACTAAAATGTTATTAAAATCTTAAATAATAAATTAACAAACAAGCGTAACAATGACGATAATTAAATAACAAACGCAAAATAATGTACAATTTACAATTTAATGTGAAAGCGTGAGATGTACGTGGAGAAACGAGACGAGAAAGGATAGGACAACGATTAACATCATTACTGACAATAATTGTAATAATAATAGCGATAGTAATATAAAATAATTGTATGTGTAATAAAAACATAATGTTTTAATAAATTTTGATGGATACTCAAACTAAATTACACTATTTACGAGATGGTACAAGAAGAAAAATATTACGCTTAGCGAGAACAATTTTTATTTTATATAATATTACTTTAATTAAAAATGCAAACGTTTCGGAAACTATGTTAAATCTTTTCTAATCCGTGTAACTTTTGACACATGTGGCTAGTAATATTGGCGACTTCCCTTTTAGAGAATGCAGTCGACATTTTTGACACAAATCGACACATATCACTTTCCATTTAAAATTAAATTCAAACTCAATCGACTCTGCTCGAGAGAAGAGTCGGAGTGTGTTTTTGACCGAAGAACGCATCTCCGCTTCGAGTATTTCGGCAGAATCTTTTTAACAGAAAATTTTTCTTAAAATCTTGCTATTTAAATCTCTGCCATTTTACAGTGGCAAACTGCTCAAGTGTGTTAACTAGTGTCGATTTGTGTCTCCTAAAAAAGAGCAGCCATTAATAAAGCAAAACAATAATGAGTAATTTTTATGATAAGACACAGACTTATAATTTAACATGTACACCTAATAAACTAAACAAATGCCCTTTTAAACAAATGTAATACAATTCTTTATTTAAATTATTTAACTCCATTCTGTTAGTTAAATTAACGATGTATTCAGTAGCAGCAGTAACGACCTATAGTTAAATAAACTCAAATTGGGTGAACTATGACCTTATAAATTTAACAGAGCATGTCCTCGCTGTGCGAAACGTTAATAAACTCTTCACCAATGTGCAAAATACTTGTTTTATTCTCAATTGACATCAAGTGCTACGTTAAATATCGAACCGTTTTGTTTTTTAAATTTGCCTTTAGCCCGAAATCAATCGATCTTTTCGATCGCTGATGTTCCGCGTAATCAGCGAATTCTTCAGTCGCCCAGCAGATGATAGACTTCTGGACGGGAAATCGACATTGTGCTCCAATTTCATCGATCCAACAGAATTTATATTTTCCTCGCGTTTCTTATCCTACCGTCTCACGAAACGGAAATTGAACGTATTCTCCGGAAGTGCCAGATTACCGACTGGAACCTTATAAATTTCATTCTCTGCCGGCAATATCTTGAAGTTCTTTAGTAGAGTGGCTATCGTTGAGAAACTGATATACCGGACAATTTTGTCTCCCATACAATATCTCGGGCCACCACCCCCGAATGCCAAGAAATGTTCTGGCATCAACAGCTTGCCGTTCTTCACAAATCTCTGCGGTAGAAACTCTTCAGAAGAGGCCCACAGCTTCTCCGACGTAAGCAGATCATAGTTGTTTAGGAATATAAACGTGTCCTTCGCTATCTTGTAGCCTAAAATAAAATAAAATAAAAAGTCACAATTTTGATTATAATAAGAAACACGTCAATATTGTTTATAAAAATCAGTAAAGTTTGCAAATAATCATCAACGTGAAGTTTTACTAGCAAATTTGGCTAACAATCTCGTCGCAATTTCTATAAATTGTGAAAGCTCTCAAGAACACGCGAAGCGAGAACGTAACATTTTCTCTGATGTCATAGAGAAAAGACAATTACTTACCGGCTACGGAGCTATCCTGGTTGGCGACGTGCGGCACGATCGGAGTGCCAATCAGCCTCATCGCTTCGAGAATGATAGCATCTGTGTACGGCATATTTCCTCTGTTCTCCAGCCCGACGAACTTGCCCGGGAGCTCAATTCTGTCGATTTCCGTTTGCGCTAATTCCTGTACGTGCGGTCGAGTAACCAGGAAGCCCAGGATCTTGACCAGGAGATTGCCGACCGCCGAATGACCGGCGATGGTCTCTTCTAGCGCGAACATCGCCATGTTCCAAGTCATTTTGGGTTCAGCGCCAGTCTTGACGTAATTTATCAAGCAGTCCACGTAATCTTCTTCAGGTATGACCGATCTCCAGCTAGTTAGACGGTCACCAATTATGTTCTTTTCCATTAATTTTCTGATCTCCTCAGTCAAATTCGCTATCCTTGTCATGTGACGCTGATACAGTGGCGTCAGGAACGGCATAAAATCTACGGTGTATCCTTGGTTCACCTCATAGAAAACCTTGTCGAAGTTCTCGATCATCTCGCGTAAGGGAGCATGGCCGAGAGCGAAGCTTCGCGAGCAGAAGTACTTGATGAATATGTTCGCGCACGTGTGCATGATCAGCGGTTTTGCGTGCAGGCCAACACCAGAGATGCCGGCCAGATAGTTAATCAGCCAGCCCACCTCGCCGCCGATGATCCCATTTAATTGATTGTATCGTGTTGTGAAGGCTTGTGGGAAGGCATGCCCTCGTAACATTTCCTTTCGCGTCTTCAAAACGTCTGACCAATTGCAGAATGCCAAAGCTATAGGTCAAAGAAAAAATAATTTAATCATTAGCCTGCTTTAAAGAGAAGCTTCAAGTTCTCACTTGACGTCAACATTGAATCTCCTTAGAAATTCGCGCACTTTAATTTATTTCGCTGGAAAAATATGTTTGAAGAATACTCGAAATAATTACCCTTTTCTCTTTCTTGTCTTTAAGACGATATCAAGACATTTTCGAAGGTGGCATCAATTAGTTTTGCTTTCATCGCCTCGCGATTTATAATAACTCGCAACGGAAGCAGCCGACTTGGGGCGCTGTGATGGTACATAGTACATATGGTGGTACACGTTATTATGTTCCGCGAAAGTATTGCGGTTCAAGTTACCAAAGCGAGAGAAGGATAATTATTAGCACTATTGGCGATATTAAATTTGATTTGGTTACCGTCCCTGTACGCGTAAAGTGACATTTCGAAATATCATTGATTTGCAAGAGAGAAATTTACAAATACTGCCTTTCTGTTTCTTATATCTTCGCGCACACTACGTACGCGAAAGTGTAATGAACTAGTCGATGCGGTGGATATCAATTCCCTAATAGACACCGCAAAAAATCAATTCGTCGTTCAGCGCGATTATTATAATATAAAATCGAGGCGGAAGAGGAGTCAGCAGCAGGAAGTGTCTCGATTTCTCGCCATGTTTGGGCGCCCGAGTATCTAAAGAGCGACTACTCCATCCTCCTATTATTTTACTTACATTTTGACAGTGGCGGTGCTAGTTTAACGCAAGATTAAAGTCTCTTTAAAAAATTAGTTGCTCCATTAGTTTTGGTATTAGAAAGTTTTTTACATCTTTAAGCTTCTAATCGATCATGACTGGTGATGTGTTTTTAACACAGAAAATTTATTGCGAGAAATATTACCTCAGCCAGGGTTTGAACCTGGACCTCCCTACAAAAAGTCGAAAATATACGCTTAGACATCGTCTTTATACTGTTATTGCGACAAATATTATCATATGCCTCGGTGGTCGAATTGATGAGACGCCTGCCTAGAGTGTAGGGAGATCCAAGTTCAAACTCTGGCTGAGATAATACAATATTTTTCGCAAGGAATTTTCTGTGTTAAAAACACATCGCCAATCATGGTCGATTAGAAGCTTAATTATTGTTAGTCATTTGCTGGCGACAAATAATTCTTGATGTTTTTTACATTTTCTGCTCTAAAAATACGTAATCCTAAATTTATTGCTGAATATTTAAACAGAAAACTTGCATTTTTACAGTGGTGATGCTAGCGTCACGCAAGAATAAAGTTAAAAAATTAATTGCTACGGTCATTTTAATATTAAAAATGTTATATATTTATTATTTTAAAGATATGTAAGCCCAAGTTTATTGCTCCATGTTTAAACAAGAAAATTTGCATTCTACAATGGTGATGCTAGCGTTACGTAAAAATTAAGTTCCTTATATAAAAAATTACAATAATTCCTTCAGTCATTTCGGTATTCAAACGTTTCTTACTCTGAAGATATGCAATCCCCACATTTATTGCTCAATGTTTAAACAAAAGTTTACATTTTTACAATGGCAATGCTTTAGTGTTATGTAAGAATAACGTTCCTTAATAAATTAATTGCTTCTATTATTTCAATATTAAAGCATTTCTTACTCTGAAGATATGCAATACCCTTTATTGCTGAATGTTTAAACAAACAAATTTACATTTTTACGCTGGTAATGCTAATGTCACGCAAGAGTAAAATTCCTTAAAAAAATGATTGTTCAATGTTTAAACAGAAAAATTCGTATTTCTCGACTTTAAACAAATTAGCTGCCGCGTCGATTTTGGTATAAAGCTTGTAAAAATAATAAAATAGAAATAAAATACTTACAGTTCTCCTTGTCGCCGCCAAAAAGGGAATGATATCTAACGAAGTTTGGCCTGGAGTCGAAGTGGTGGCCCTTGGTGACGCAAACTTCCTTGATGTTCTCCAATCCATTGACAACGACGCAAGGTACAGATCCCATCTGGAGCTTAATCACCTGGCTGTTGTAGGTCTTGACGAGGTCGCCGAAGACTTTGTAAGGCACGTCATAGCGTCCCAAAATGTGAAGAGAGCCTGTAACTGGCCACGGCTTTGGTCCAGGTGGATCTAGTAACTTGGATAACTCTTTGCTATCGTGTGATGTCTTCGACTTTTTCTTCGATGTGACATAATCAATCATGATCAACGTTAAGGCCATGAGAGCGATAGGGAGCAGGAAGTACGTCATACTGCTGATGAAAATCATCCTTCGGCACAATCACAAATTTCTTTGCTAAAGAGAATCTTCTCTATTTCTTTTTTCTTCCTTACACTCTTTTCTCTCCTTTCTTTAGATGATCTGTGGGTGAATGTTTCCCGATATTTCTTAATGATTCGATGGATATTTTGCTCTCAAGATATACCAGTCGAGTTTGAGTCTGATTTGAAAACTTTGATTTATATCCTTTCTGCGAGATGTAAATTCTTTCTTAAATCGAGACATGCGTTGAGCTTGATAATTAGATTGCTTCTGCCTTCAATGAGACGATTTTTCGAACTCTCTTATTGACTTTGCCAGAAGTGCCAACAATAGTCGACACAAGACAATGACGTGATGTCTTCACCGTGAATGAGTATCAGCTGATCGGGACGCAAGCTCCTTGTGGCCCGTCTGTGAACGGTCCGGTGATTTGACTCGGTCTGTGGGGATAGAATGTCCAGCTGTCTTATATAGCCGAACGTAAGGTTGTCATCCTTACTGAGTAATATTTTTCTCACTACATTTCTTAAATTAAATTTTGCTAGCTAAGCGTTCTTACCAACTCTTTTTCCTCATTTTCTCTTAGATTGGGTAATAAGCGTCGTTAGCAATTCTTCTTGCCTAATTTTTTACGTAATATTCTCAGTTGATAGGATACGCATTCCAAAAATATTTCTTGAGTGTGAATGTGACACGTGTTCACGAATATCCGTGTATGTGACATATGTAAACGTGTAGCTTTGTTGATATTATATTGACAACCTCAATGTTATATACGACGGCATTATTAATATTACCCAACTCATTTTTAATTTAATTTGTATTTTATATCCTGACTAAGTCAAATCACCGATCCGACTGTTGTTTATAATTTATTTTACCTTTAAAAACAGTATTAGGCTCGTATTAAATTAATAATATTAGATATAATGGGCCAATAAGCTAAACGAGCGATGTAGGTTTTTAAAACATTTTAATAAATAATGTGATATGATCTTAGTCTATATAATTAAAACGGGAATAATAAAAGAATCCCTAAATACAAATAATTTAATCTAACGAACGTTTCGACAGTACTTTGTCTTCTTCAGCGTGTATATACTAAAATAAAATTACAATAAAGGATAAAAATTTTACATGTCGGTTAAATATTACGATACGAAATTTCTTGTCGATATTTGATTGCTATTTTAGTATATACACGCTGAAGAAGACAAAGTACTGTCGAAACGTTCGTTAGATTAAATTATTTGTATTTAGGGATTCTTTTATTATTCCCGCTTTAATTATATAGACCAAGATCATATCACATTATTTATTAAAATGTTTTAAAAATCTACATCGCTCGTTTAGCTTATTGGCCCATTATATCTAATCTTATTATTTTACCTTTGTTATTGTTTATAATTTGTTTTCACCGTGTCACTGTCTAGACTTGTATTTTTATCTTGCTGACTTCTGATGCATATTCCTTTTTTATATTTCACCTTGACATAAAAATTTTTTCCGTCTAGATACAGACGTACTCTGCAACATGCGCCTTACTAATGGCTCATTCGATAACTATTTTAATTCAATGTGTTGGATATTGCGTTGTGAGGCGTGCGAATTTTTTATATTTGGTTTTAGATAATGGTCGATTAAAACGGATTACTTTTTAATCCGTTTTAATCCATTTTAATCGGTTTTAATCCATTTTAATCGGTTTTAATCGGTTCAATCCGCGCCCAGATTAAAAAGTAATCGATTTTAATTCGGAACAAATTACAATCAGTTTTAATATCGCTTTCGCGGATTATTTCTAATCCGAAATCATTACATTTTAAAACCTATTGTTAGTCCAAATAAACACTTATTATCGCGTAATTAAGAAAAACGTCTGAGCCAATAAGTGCACGGAGGAGCGGAAGGCCGGACTCGGCAGACATGCAAAATGGTATATTATTCTCCTACCACCAGAAAAACTTTCGGCGCGGTGTCATATGTCGCGCGTTCGCTCGCTGCGCGCTCCCCGCTCGCCGCCGTCTCTCATCGATCGATGCATGACTCCACTTCTCGCTATCGGATCTTGAGAAATGTCAACAAATACACCATTTTGCATGTCTGCCGAGTCCGGCCTTCCGCTCCTCCGTGCACTTA